CTCGGTGTCGATGTCGATGGTGCTGTTTGTTTGTTTTTTTCAAGTTTCTTAAATATCATATTTTTTAGTTTATTTTACAGCAACGAATTTTTGTTTCTTTATGTTTTGTTTTGTTTTCTGTTTGTTTTTAATTAAACAATTTTTTACTTTATAGTTGTTTATCTGATGCTTAATGCTTCCACTTTATTTTAGTGATTAGTCTGGCAAAAAAATATATTTAAATTTGGACGCTTTAAGTTAAAGTCTGTGCGCTTTAATAAACAATAAAAATAAGCACCGATACGATATTATTATTATCAGGGATTATTTTTTTTGAACATATTAATTAACTTTATTTCTTCTTTAACCCCTTTACCAAACACCGGTGTCGTAGTCAAAACCGGTATAGAGATGAACACCGGTCTCTAGACCAACACCGGTGTCGAGATGAACACAGGTGTCGGTATCAACACCGGTGTCGAGATGAACAACGGTGTTGTAGATATACACCGGTATCGAAATGAACACCGGTGTCGGTGTCAACACTCGCCACCGGTGTCAGCCCAACACCGGTGTTACAACTGTGTACCGGTGTTTGGAACAGGCCTAGTTCTATTCTGCGGTGGCGATCAGATTCAACTTGTCGAGTTTGATTGCGAGATCGCGACCCAACTGATAGGAATTTTCCATTATTTTGTGTGTTTTTTCTTGTTGCAATTTAAGGCTGTAAAAATACACTAAATTCTATATGATTTATCTGATCCAAGTTACAAAAATAATAGAATTAAAAATAAAAAGTTTGAGACAAAATTAGACTTGCAATTGGATTGGATAGTACAGATGTATACATTTTTATTGTTTAAGTTTAAATATTGTGTGAGGTTCAAGTTAACGTCTCCTTTCTGCTGCAATGGCTAAACTGGACGGGACCTTCTTGTTTACGCGGAATCCGAACCGCGGTCCTCGGCCATATCATGGTCAATGGCCTACCGACTTAGGAAGTGTCTAAATTAACTCTTACTCACGAGATATCCGAAATCATCCGGCCTTGAACCGGCGTGTATGAGCAGTGTGTATCAATATATTTTACACTTTTCCCTTTTGGACAACAGCACGATGCAAAGTTTCGAACCGGTCACCCGTCCATCCACTAGCATCGCCTTACGTCGCTTAACTTCGGTGTTCTAACGGGACCGGTGTTTCGACGTAGCTGGGCCGTTGCCCTTTAAATATTGTAGGTAAATATTTAAGAATGTTTTTTTTCGGTATTCATAATTCACATTTTTAATTTGTACCTATGTATACCTACAGGATAGCTCACTACATATAGGTACGGCGGTCAACGTGAACGCGTTGGTGTGATCGTGATCGTGATCGTGATCGCGGCCGTGATCGCACCAGTGTGCGTGTAGCTTTAGATTTCATAGGTAAATAAACAGTTCACTACACCTTTTTAGCGTTTTTTATTGAATTCGGTGAATTCGGTGAATTATCAAGTACATATTATGTACTTGATATGTGCTATGTGCTATAAACGTCGGTACTAGTTTTGTACCTTTTGTTAACATTTTAATACGTTTTTTTCGTAATTAATTAGTATGATACCACCGCATACATCATAGGCGTAGCCAAAACATTTATCAAAGATATAAATATCCCTTGAAGCAGCAGTCATTGTATTTTCTAGTCATTGTTTTCTAAAGAATAAAGTAAAAAAATACCGAGGGTGTTATTTAAAAATCAAAAGTTTCACTCACTTCCGGCGAAACAGGAAGCGACCGAAAACAATCGAATACGTCAATCAATCCTGATTTATGTCATGTGCTAACGTACTAAATCTCGTTTTTTTTCAATGAAAGAATAAAAACTTATAGGAGTGGGCCATTTTGAGAAACACCCGGTATACTTATTTAATGCATTACGAGTATTTTGAAATGAGTAAAAATTTGGCGTGTTTATGACATCATATTTTATTATCGCCTTGTTACTAATCGAGGACGTTGTAGTGAATTGTTACATTTATTATTAGTTTAATTATACTAATTAAAATATTCTAGAATCTTTAATGATAAACAAAATTATGAGATAAACAAAATTACAAACAATAAAATAAACACTTAATGTGCATCTGTGAAGTGTTAAGAAAATGGACAATGTGCATTATTTCAATTATGTTGTTTATTAAAAGAATGTAGGCAGGTATTTTGTAATATCTATTTTTTTTATTATATCTATCTTGAGTTTTAAATGATATACCTACATAAGTATAGACAAATAAAAAAAAAATAACATTGTAACAGCTGAAGTGAAATAAATGATACGTAAAGTGCATTTTTAAGAAGGTATATATTCTTATTGGAGATGTATTTTACATAGGACATATCTTGTTTTTAAATATCTAGATTCTTGTCTTTTCAAATACAAAATTTGCAATATCAATTAAATGATTGTTTCTTTGTTTAGATATTTAAAATATATAAAATGTGAATCATCTGATATACTATGGTCTAGTTGAAATAAATATTTTGTTTTTGCTATTTTTACATATTTATGACATCATATTTTATTATCACTAAGTTACTAATCAATAAGACCTTAGAATAATTTAAAATAATTTTCTGATTATTATACACTAATTAAAATATTTTACAATAACAAACAATAAAATATAAAAGCACTCTCAAATTACCCAGTCCATTGAAAAAGTTTAATAAAAAAATAATTTCTTGTTTTTAATACAGGGCGAGTCTTAAATAAGTGGAAATATTTTAGGGGTTGTATATTTCGACCCCAGAAACACGTCTATATATTTTTTCTTAAAAAAGATGGTAAAAATCGTGCATTTTTTAAAAAAAAGTTGTTTAGTTTGGAAAACTTTTTAGAACTGTCCGTTCACTGCAAATTTTTCCACGGTATAATTTCTTCTCTGGATGCAAATATAGGAAAAATCTGGTGGCTCAAATTTTTTTTAAAAATAAATCAAATTTTTTTTATTTCTTTTAATTTGAATAATTCGGTTATTTTGGACTTATTTAAAAAACGATAGAGAGAAAATATATTTCTTTTATCGAGATCTACCAGGCCTGAAAATATTTGCACTTATTTACATCTCACCCTGTATATGCAGAGTATTAATATAAAAATATAGTCTTTTGTGCTGGTAAAATTTAAAAATATATACAATAGGTAATAGGTGGTCCTTATTCTTATTAATATGCTAATAATTAAGGAGATGATCCTTTTATGTGTGAATTTTATCAAAGAAAAAGTTCAGAAGAAGATTAAGTCTTAATTTTTGAGATCAAGTTGGTTATACAAGGGTTATACCCTTATTATACTCTTGTAAATATCTTTGTGATGAACTGCATAGTGTGCCTTGAAGACCCTATTAATAATATACCGTATGATCGTCATTTTATATACAAATGTATATGTTATTGTGTGTGGATCAATTATCCAAGTGCTGAAAATGGAAATAGAACTAGGAAGTGATAAGTTTTTGAAATTATAAGGTTTTTGGTGAATGGAAAAGATAATATCTGCTGAAAAATTTTGGAAATTGTTAGTGTTCCCCGTTAGTGTTCTGAATACTAGCATGTGTATTTAAGGTAATGAGAGCTATAGCTGACCCGCAAAATATCCAAAACATGCTAATTGGATACATTAAATTGTATTGGATTACGATACTCAAAAGGCTTTGCTAGAAAACAGCTTTCTGTTTCTGTCGTTATAGAATATAGAAAACTTTTAAAGTGAAGAAACACTACTATTCCTCCTAGTATCGTAGTATATAAGAAAAAAGTAAATAAACGCATTATTCAGGACATTAAGCATAGTAAGTATCCATCGAGGGTACCGCAGTAGGTACTCACTAGATGTAAAATCCTGAAGGTACTGATAAGAATCGATAAAGATTTTTTTAGAAACGATGTACCTATCAGATACTTCATAATAGTAAAAAACTTTCTGAACTGTACTCGTAAATCCAATTAGACATATTTATTTTGAACATTGCACTAAACCTCTCTTTCCAATAGGTAATGAATCATCTACAAACAGTACACGTAGTACCGCATTCTTTTCAATGTTAATCTACTCATTGGTATCATATCCTATCTCGTTTCCTCCATCGCTTAATCATAGTTCGTCCTTAGCTAACGGTCAAGTTAGATCAGTAAGCAAAAATAGAAATGACGTTCCTGTTCTCCACTCTATTTTTTCTCGTCTCCCCAGGTTCCTAAGAATAATGTAAATAATGCCATTACACAAGACATGTAAAGCATTAAGCATAGTGAGTATTCATAGAGGATACCGCAGCACTCACTAGATGTGCATCTCTGAAGGTGGTGCTGTTAAGAATTGATAAAGAGTTTTTAAGAAACGACATTTCAGGTACTTCATAGTAGAAAACAACTTTTTGAACTGTACTCGTAAATTCCATTAAAGACATAATATTTATTTTGAAGATTGCACTAAACGTCCTTGTCCAACAGGTAATGAATCATATCTGCAAGCGGTACATGTAGTACCCCCATATTCTTTTCAGTGCTAATCTACTCATCGTTATCACATTCCGCATGTTGTTTATCACACAGCATCCATCGAGACTACCGATAGGTATTCACTATATGTGAATCCCTCAAGGTACTGATAAAAATGGTTAAAGATTTTTTAGAAAAAACTGATAATAAAAGACACTTCATAAAAGACCACTTTTTGAACTGTACTTGTAAATTCTATTAGACATCTATTTTGAACATTGCAACTTCTCTTTCTAATAAGTAATGAATCATCTACAAACGGTACACGTAGTACCCCCACATTCTTTTCAATGCGAACCTGCTCATTGTTATCATATCCTATCTCGTTCCCTCCATCGCTTAATCATAGTGCGTCCTTAGCTAACGGTCAAGTTAGGTCAGTAAGCAAATATAGAGATGACGTCGCGTCCTCTTCCCCACCTTATGGTCTCCCCATTCCCCCCATTTTTTCTATCTCTGTCTTACCTCCAACAAGCCGGCAAAATATGTTGACGGCGCAATCGTAAGCCATTTTATAAAACATATAGAAGCCGGGTGTAGGAATTCAGGCAGGCAGACAGTGTGAAGTGGACCTAGTTTTGTGTGCTGTGTTGGATATTCTTTAACTGAAACCATTCAAGATGAGCAACAATATTGGTAAGTTTTTTCTTATTCTTTGTTATAGTGAAACTAATCACTGTCAGTTAAAAATTAAAGTTTTTTAAACCTTTAAATCTTGAGGGATTTAATTAAACTAATTGTTCTAAAATGTTATTTTTTAATTAAATGATAATTTTAAAGTGAAAATCTTAAATAATTAATTAGAAACTCTGGGGACTATTAAATGAGAGAGAAAATAATAATTATATAAAGAATTGTTATGTTTTAAATTTTTGAGTATTTTGTTTTTTACATATTTTAGTTAATATTTCCTTATTTGTAATTATTAGGTTTGTGATTTCTATATTAGATATTAATATTTCCAAAAATATATGCATTCCTGTAAAACATTCTTGTTTGTTATGTTCTTGTACGTTATAATCTAACATTTAATATTACAATAATTATATATTAATAGTTATTATTATAATTATATAAATAATTTGAAATATTACATTTTTCTTTGAAAAGGCAGATTGGAATATTTGTAAAATTCTATGAAATATAGACATAAAATAATGCATATAACAAGCTAAAAATATCTTTATATTGCGTTCATGTTTTTTTATGTAGTATTTACACAGTTTCCGGCTTCTAGAACCATTAAAATTTGTTTTGTTTTTAGTAAATCTTAGTTAAGTTTACAACACGTTTTATTATATAAAACAAATCACAATCAAGAAACATTGTGTTATTATTATGTCTTAAAAAAATAATAAGCAATAATACATACATAAATACACAGGTAAAGTCTGTAAAACGATTCACGATAAAGATTTCCACAGACGACATCTCAAAAACGACAGAAAATGCAATTTACCTGTGAATTAAAATGACGGACACAGCTGTCACTGTCAGAGATCCTCTCGTTAGACAGACTATACAGGGTCCGGCAATAGTGCGTCGGGCATTTGTAGCTCCTAGAATAAAAAAACTTGAGAATTTTGTTGTACAAACTTAAATTATGTACCTACCAGGTTGTATTTCCGAAAAATATTTTAACTTCTATAGGGTGGCTCAAAAAAGTGTGAGTGGACCTGGATAATTTTTTTTAAATGGAACACCCTGTATATTATTGCATTTTTGGCTGCCTTTCAGATTACTTTACATAACCCTAAAATATGAATAAATATATTTCGATAGTTTCAGAGATATTAAAAATTAAATCAAAAATATATATTTTTCAGCCCTTCCTAAATAAATTATTAAAAAAACAGGACTTTTTGTGAAATCAAAACTATATCAGGTATTTACTTTAGATGGTCTGTTCTTACTTTGCTATAAATATGGTAATCGTAAATCATACAGGATGTTCAATATTCTACGCCAAACTTTCTAAAATATAAAATATTTTTTCTTTGTTTTTTAAATGGAACACCCTGTATATTATTTTTTTATTAGATGGAGAGTTAAAAAATTAACATTTTTTGTATTTAGAGTATTTCAAAATTTTTAACGGTTTTGTAGATACACGCAGTATTATTTCATATGGCGCTTACAATGGTAAAATACAGGAGAAAAGTAATTCGGTGGCTTTGATAAAAATTTACTGTAGGAAATGCCATATGAAATATAAAACCGCAAATATCTGCGAAACCGATAAAAATTTTGAAATATTCTAAATACAAAAAATGTTCATTTTTTAATTCTCCGTCTATTGAAAAAATAATATACAGGGTGTTCCATTTAAAAAAAACGAAGAAAAATTATTTTTTATTTTAGAAAGTTTGGCGTAGAATTTTTAATATCCTGTATGATTTACGATTTTCATATTTATAGCAAAGTAAGTACAGACCATCTAAATTAAATACTTAATATAGTTTTGATTTCAGAACAGTTCTTGTATTTTTAATAATTTTTTTAAGAAGGGTTGAAAAATATATATTTTTGATTTATTTTTTAATATCTCTGAAACCAGAAGCCAAAAATGCAATAATATACAGGGTGTTCCATTTAAAAAAATCCTGCTGATCCACTCACACTTTTTTGAGCCACCCTATAGAAGTTAAAATATTTTCATGAAATACATCCTTGTACATACTTTAGGTATGCACTTAAACAAAATTCTCAAGTTTTTTATTCTAGGAGCTACAGATGCCCGACGCACTATTGCCGGATCCTGTATATGTGATAATATAAATTCTAAATCTATTTTTATAAAGAACAAAAATAGGTTTATAATTTTTTTATTCTATACCATTACGTTGTCTATTCATTTTATTTTTTAATCATAATTAAGAAGTAGAGAATTTTTTCCCAAAAATATATTAATTTTGAAAATTTGAAACATACTCTTGAACGCCAAATTATTTGGAATATTTTTAATATTCATTTCATACTTTTTCTATGTAAGCAGTAATAAAATAGGTTGTGGCATTCCAGTAGTTGTTTATTGTCAGTTCTTGCGGTTGTTGCTACCAGTAGCGTGCCGTGGGTAAAAGGGCGGGGTAGGCGAGCTATGTTGAGGTTGCGATTTCACTAATGTGCGTCACTCAGTCAGAGCTAAGGGCGGAGGAGGCAATCGCCAGTGACAAGATATAAAAATAATTATTTTTATTACCTATTTCATTAGAATTTAGAACATGGTTGAAAAGCAATTTTGATGACGTTTTATTGTTTAGTTTAGTAATCACAATTTATTATCGACATATCAATTTTTTATTATTAAAACCGCGTTATCTGACAATGTTTTATGACTTTTCTACGATTAAGTATAGAATTATTCTAGCAATAAAAATGTTTACAATTAAATTGAGTAATGCAGGTAATTACTTTTATTAAATGCCAATGAAGTATAGAGTATACATATTCAGATTAAAAAAAACTTTTTACCAAATTATAGTTAATTATTACTTTTTCAAATAATTAATCATCTAGAAAAGTCATCATCAGAAAAACGTAAATTTAGTCTATGTATATCTGTGCTACCTTAATTACACATTCCGTATCATGACTTCAATGAATACTAGAAATTTGTTATCTGTCATTGTCTAAAACTTCTTGATTATAAACTATTTGACCACACTGTAGTTAGCGTTAACATAAAAAACAAAATCAAAATATTCTACAGCCTTAAAAAAATAAAGAAAAATGTGTAAAAAATAAACACTACTATATTTGGAAAAATAACTGCATTGAATTGTTGCACTATACCTAGATAGTGTTTTCTTTTTAATTTAATTAGTGTTATGCCTGATATTTGCTGATATATGTAAAACACGACCTGCGTATTTTTCCATCATATTCGTATAAAAATAAAACTTGAACGTTTATGTGTATTTTACATCACCGCTAAATAGAAATAAAGTAATATATTATGTATATAGAATAACAATTAATATTTAACTTGTATTGGACGTTTCTTGATAGTTTTATACATTGTGGTTTCATATGGCATGTGATTTGTTGTTTGGGAAAAATAATTTTAGCGTTGGAGAGAAATAATTGTTTGACCTTATTTAAGATTCAGTTGACCATAGCGGCGCGGTTGTTTTGGTCTGACATAATCCGCTATTTTTAGTCCACCACTGGTGAGATTCTTAACTATCTGCTGCTGGAATGTAGCAGGTTCGGATTTATTGATTTTGTGTTTTTTTTTCGATTTTTATTTTATAATCTGCACATTTTTAATATCTACGAGGAAATTTTCGATTATATTAAATATTATAATAATAATTAACTATTAAAATAAATATATGGCAGTTAAATAATAAAAGAATATTTATTATTTAACTGTCACATTATTAATTTTCTGACATTAAAAAGATGATTAGTTAAATGAAGATCATAAAAGTATGTGATAATGAATAAGGCAAATATTCGAATATTGGATACGGAATTGCTAAATAACATCAAAAGTAATATTTTAGAGAAATTAAATATATGATTTGTTTAGACAAATATTATATTATTATTATGTTCTTATAATTTGCACCATTTTGTTATAAACTATGTTTAATTATTGTAAATATACAATATTAATTCCTTTTAAATAACTAATTTTGAAGTAAGCTAGAAAATTAGGACTTAAATTAGGTTATTTTTTTTGAATAGTAGAAAACACTTGCACTTTGGAAGATATAAGTAATAAGCACTAAGTAATAAAATGGCTAGAATTTCAAAACAACAAACACATTAATAATTCATGACAAAATAATGAATATGTTAAACCTTGTAGTATAGTCCGAAAAGAATAACATATTCGATTAATAAGCCATCAGTTCATCCTCAGATTTTCTCTATTAGTCGTAACCTTGGTATATCTACAAATGTGTGTGCGACTACAACATGTTTAATTTAATTATATTATAATAATGTACACAGGAGAATAATATCCTTAGACAAAATATTAAATATACCGGGTGCGTCTCAAAAGTGACTCACCCCCTGTAACTTTTTTATACTTTCAGATAAAAAAACAAGATTTGGTAGGTTAGTATATGACATAAATTAGGATTGATTGGCGTATTCAATTATTTTCGGCCACTTCTTGTTTCATTGGGAATCACTACAACTTTTGATTTTAAATGGCCCCCCTGGGTATTTTCTACTTTATTCGATAGAAAATAACACTCTGAATAGAATGACATATCATATGTCAACTTTTGACATTTTCGCTTAAAACAAAATTGTATTTTAAATTTCAATCTAGGGTGTCATGGCTGTATTAAAAACACTAATTTTTACTTAAGGAGCATTGGAAAAATATGTTTAATCGCCTAATGCGCATGTGCGGTTGCGGCATAATGTTGAGTGTCTTGTCCTGGCCGGTTAAAAGATACCCATATCGTATTTTTAATCATATCTCAATTTCGACGAGACGACATTTAAAAAGTGACAGAAAATTCAATTTACCTCTTTATTTACCTGTAAATTAAAATGACCACATAGGTATTCTCTCACTGGACATAATATAATTCTTACAAGTAGGTAAAAATCCACTAACAATTACATTCTACACTAAAATAATTTCTAGTTTATTTGAGTTTTTTTGAGAA